CCCCCTCCTCCCCCTCTTCCAAGTCCTCCTCCTCCTCCTCCTCTCCCTCCTCCGCGTCCTCCTCCCCCTCCAGCTGTGGCGGCGGCCGCCCAGCCGCTGGAGCCCCGCTCGGTTCAAGATGAGTCATGTGTGACCAATCCCCTCCCCGCCGAGGGAGAGCGAGAGACACACACAGCGAGGGAGCGACCCAGAGACACACACGCAGAGACATATAGGCACACAGAACCCCAGAGCTGCAGCCAGAGACTCAGGGACACGCTGACATACAAAGGCACCCGCAGACTGACACCCTCACAGGTCTCTCTACTGTCCCCCCCCCCTCCTTTTAGGAACACCTGGGGCCCTCACACACCTCCCCCTCGCAGGTACAAGAGGGCCGTAGCAGTACCAGCAGGTGAGGTGGCTGCATATACCAGCACTTGGTATACTGCTGATGGACTCCCATGGCTGGAAGGTTTGGCACCTGTGGGTGGAAACAATTACCTGTTTGCACCCCGAATGCAGGCACAAGGCAGCCACACATACTTCCACACACCTGCACAGATACCTCTGCTCCATCACCACAGTGCATCATCTCCTGAGGACTGGATGGGATTCTACTGGGAAGAAGTGTTCCTGGAAGGGGGAGGTTGCACCCCGGAATTCCCCTGGGAGGGACTGCCTGGGACATTCCCCCTTCTCTTCAGGGTTTGCTGAGCCATTCAGTGTAATGGCATCTCATCTTCCTTAGGTCGGGCTGCTGGTGAGAGAGGTGGGGAAGCAGGGAGGCCTAGACATTTAGCCAGGAGACACCGTTCCCCCGACACACAGACATGAAACCCTCAACCTCAAAGAGAGAGACTTACACACCCTAGCCCCCCACAACACGCACACTCAGGGGGACACTGGCAGCCTCGGCCCCCATCTCCACCCCCAAATTGAGCCTAGGGAGACACATGTAAATATACATCCTCTTGTAAAAACAAATATGCTCGTTCAGACTTAGAGCCAGCCCTATAGATACGACACCCCACCTCCATCCCACCACACACACCATCATCTCCATAATTGCCCTCATTTACAAACGTAAACACCCCACACAACTGTTCTTACACTTGCTCACACGTCCATACTAGAGAGCACAGACTGCCAGAGCTTCCTCAGATATGCCCACACAAACCCTCTCCCAGACACCCTCAGATATGCCCACACATCCCTATGGATGGCAAAATAACCACTTAGAGGCAGAAACAGCACACCCGACTCTGTGGACTCAGGATTCCCAGTCGTCACAGCCCGGCGACCCACATGGCATTTTGTCATGTCCACAGGTAGACACGCCCATGGAGTGGAAGGCCCCACACCTATATTGTGGAAAGATAACAATATCTGGTCCTTTAGAGACACACAGTTACCCAGAAACAACCCTGCCCCAGCCATGGGGCTCCCCTACCCCCCTGCATTCCAGCCACGGGTTGCTCTTAGACATAGAAATTCAGAGTAAAAAGTTTCTTCTGAATCCTGATCTTTTATGCTAAAAGCACAGATTGCATTGTGAAGCTGGTGAGACATGGGCAGACACACTCGTGTGCACACACACACACCAGCCACATCACAGCTTTGTGTGACACACACGTCTTTCTCCAATTCCTCTTGTGTGCATCCGGGGAACTTTAATCCACGACAGGCTTGCCTTCTATCATCTTGTCTTTATTTTCTTTCCACTAAGTTAGCGTCTGAGGGAATGTTTCTTATTGTACCGATTTTACTGATGAGGACACTGAGGTGCAGAGACATCAGGTGATAGGTCTAAAAATGACTCCACATGGTTACTAATTGCCAGAGACAGGAACTCAAAACCAGATTCACCTGATATCAGAATACATGCTCATGATTTCTAGGATAACACTGGAGCATGTCCACTGGCCCTCTACACACACACACACACACACACACACACACACACACACACACACACTCCATATTACCTGTCAAATGGCCAGTCTCACCACTAGGGGCTCACTAGTTTCTCATCTGCAGAATGGGACTAATAAGACATTTTACCTCTATCTTTCCTCCCCTTCCAGGTGGCCGATGGGAGGAAGCAGGGGTCGTTCAATATTACTACGGGCTGCATGTGTCAGGTGTGTGTGTGTGCAGAAGGACTCTGGGAAGAAGACTCCCAGGGTGGTACAGACTTTGCAAAACTTCTTGGGCAAGAGGTGTAGAGGAGGCTGCAACTGAAACTAAAAAAGCAGGTGAAGTCGGATGCACTCAGGGGAGAGAAGAAAGCACTGTAGGCAGAGAGGACGGCAAAGATTCAGGGGTTGGCCGACCCCATATAAATAAGGAATGTGAAGCACACACGGTGATAAAAACAATACGCTACCATTTATTGGGCACGGATGTGCCAAGCACCCTCACCCAGCACCCACTTACAGGTTCTTTATTTTTTTTAAAAAAAGATTTATTTATTTATTCATACAGAACTGGGGTATAGGCCAGAGATGCGGAGGGTGAGAGGATTCACCAGAGACAGAGTGGGGAGCAGAACAGGCAGAATGATGAAGTACACTGCTGAGGGAAGCAGCGGGCAGGTCAGGAGAGGTCTGCCGGGCCATGTGGTCACCTCTGGGGCAGGTGGGAATCGAACTCATGTGAAAGTGGCTTAAGCTTCTTAGTGCAGTGCTTTAACCCGCTGCGCCACCAGGGAGGGCCCCCACTTACAGGTTCTTTAACCCTCACTGCAACCCTTCAAAGAGGCTATATTATTACATTACTTTACAGTTGGTAAATGCATGCATGGGGGTCTCACTTCAAGCTCACGCATTTAGACTAGAACCCAAAGCCCTAACCTACTCTACAACACTTTTCCTGGGTTCTGAGTAAGTGATCAGAAAAGCAAAACTGGAACAAGAGACATCAAACCCGTAGTGGCTCAAAGACTCCGGAACCAGATTCCCTAGGCGCTGACCCGGTCACCTGGGTGACACTGGAAAAGATACTGAGGCGTCCAGTTGGCTTTGATGGCCTCACCTGTGAAGGGGGGATCCAATTTTCTGTGCTTGTGTCAATTGAGAAATGACCCAAACAGAAGGGCTCACGTAAAGCAATAAAATATCAGCTGCCATCACAGGATGGTCTGGATGTGCTTCCCAGTTGTTATTCTAATAGGTGCCCACATCAAATTTTTTATGGAGCAAGGCAGGGCATCAATCAACCAAATTATAAATATTCTCCAGAATAACTTAGCTAAGGAAGTTGCCGTCATTATCCCACCCCGCCAGCGCGTGCCTGACTTCAAAGAGGACAGAAGTGAAATTACTTTGGAAAAGAAATCTCTCTTTTCACAACTGTGGACTCTGCAGGAAGGAGAGCCCAGATAGGAGCGACCTTGGCAAAGTCAGGATTAGCAGACATTGCATCAGGATACTCCATTGCTCCCTACAGGAGACTTTGAGAAAGTTGGCTTAGTGTCCCAGAGCCTCAGTTTCTTTTTCTGCACAAACAAACACAATAGCAGTATTGACTGCTCAGCGTAGTGGTGACAGTTTACCATATATTACAAACTACTGGTTTAGAAATGTCGCCTCTTTTCCTGGT